CGAATACTTCCACCTGTGTATCATGGATTGCACTGAATGTGCAAGAATGAATAACGATTACATAACTTTCATGAGCACGTATCCAGTATTTCGTCTCCGTGTATTTCACAATTTGTTCTGCAATGACCTTGATCTGCTCATGCTCAGACTGCAACCGTGAACTCGCTTATTTAGACACTCTCTATATATCTATTTACACCCCCCCCCGCCCCCCTCTAGAATCCCGCGGATTTCCGCGGGTCCTGCTAGTATTTGTATATAATGTTATTTGTGAGAATCCCACCCGCGCTAGCTAAGCTGTAGCTTTCTCTCTATACTTTTCTGTCTGACTCACATATTCTCTGACTTCCCCCCTCTCTTCTCTCTGAGAAAAAAGGACAAACCGTTGGATGAGTTAGTAAACAAATGAACAGTGGTGATAAGGAGGGATAAAGGTTAACCGAAAAGTCAACCTTAAATCTGACAGTGTAAAATATTTACACACCTTGAATATTAGGAATGTTATTAAAGAGCACTTGATTTCACGTTCATTACTCTGTAAATAAACAGTTTCAGAGGCTCAGCAAACAATGGAAATGTGTGGTCTGAATAGATCATCAGATTGAGTAGATGAAAAGAATATCACCACCTTTGACCTCCATATCATAAAGCATGACATGATTTGACACTCTGTCAGGATGTTGTAATACTTGAGTAAGTTCTGAAGGTATGACGTAGTGTTTAGGGAATGTGTTGTAGTACTGTGTAGTTAGAAAGGCATGATGTTTTGGCAGTGGTTAGGTTTGATACTCTGTACAGGAATGTATTTTGACAGATAATAAATGTAATGTTTAAAGTCTTTACAACGATTCGCGTTGATACTGCAATCTTTAACTCTTTTTTCGAATTCGCATGTTAATTCAAATTTTGCACAGAAAAGAAAGAGAAAGAAGGAAAGACAAAAGTAATGTCGCTCTGCTTCCATATCTTTTAAACTCATTACGCTGGCCGTCCTTTCCCTATTCTCTTTTATCTCAGCATATTTTGTCTTAATTCTATCCCTTTATTACCATCCCCCCCCCCAAATAAAAAAGCAAAAACAAACAAACAAACAAACAAACACACACAACCATGCTCATAACATAGAAACATAGCATTTATTCTTCTTTCTCATGTTGTATCATTTTTCTTTTGCATTTAGAATACATACAAGCTTTTATATTTAAACTTGTTGTTCTCTTGCCCGCTAACGGTTCGTATAAATATCTATTTCGTACAGACTGCCTTGCATCCCTTCTGCTCATTAATGTTTTTCTTTTTAGATCACGTTAATACATATATTTAAGTATAAACATTGGCGGTGTAACACTTGAAATGAGGAAACAAAGTATATTTTACTGTTTTGATCATATTGATATATAAAAACAATGTCTGGGAAATTTAAAATGAAAAAAGTCGTTCAGCTTACTCCATGAATATTACTTCTTAATCCATAGATGTATTGAAGCTAGGTTTAAAACACTAACCATTGTACTGTACCTTTGAACCAGTGGCGTGATCATTCATTTATTTCCTGTTCTTTTGAAACATTGTTTATTTTGTGCACCGATCCATTGTTTTGCGGAGCTGAAAAATATTCGATTATTTCAAAATACGCACTGTACCTCTCTTGTCAATTATACAAACAAAGTGTTTTACAGTATCTATATTATAGGATTTCTCGGTCACTTTCGTAAGTTTTTCATTCGTTTTGATACAAAGTTCATTCAAATTCGCGAAATAAAGCTGCCGGCGTGTAAATTTCATTCAAAATAACACTTTTTTCATTTCATTTACTTATTCGGTCAATGGATTTAGCACTTGTTTCATTCAATTTAACAACCGCTTACAAATGCGCAGTTTGCATTCATTTTCGTCAACAATGACAAATCGGACATCCGTACCATTCAATTTCACTTTGGGTCATTCTAAATAACAAAGTTTTCATTCATATTCGCCTATCTTTACAAACCTATGGTATGGTATATGCACATGTTTCTCATCTAAATTAAACAAATGAGTTATATAACATGTCATTCTTGGTCAATATCCGGTGATGCGTTTTTAGAAATAATTCCTTGCATACAACTTTAGATATAAGATTGGACATCATCTTACTGATGTTTTCATCACGGACTTAATCGTACTCGGTCATCTTTTGGAAGTGATATTACGTAGACGAACACGATAATGTCATGCATGATGTAATTATGATCACGAAATATATATAACCAAAACAAGATTTCAGATTGTATACGTGTATTCTTTAGTTTATTTCCACATGACATGAGTTATTGAGATGTGCGCTCAGTGAGAAAACAATGTATCAAACTCATAAATGATTGTGTAGCGTGATTGTGCTTGTTACTGTATGTGATCGTGATCGTGATTGTGATTCAGTGTGATGGTGATTCAGATTTTGATGTGATTATGATTGTGATTGAACTGATACTCATAGATTTTTATTAACATGTTCACTATAGACTAAATATAATTTACACAAAATATAAATGGCTTCAAAGAGATTACGAACATCGAATAAATTATCCAAAAAAAAAAAAAAAAAAAAACATAACAAAAAAAATTAATGTATAGAGTATTGATACCGCCCCCCCCCCACCATTATGGTACGCCACTCCAATAAATACAACCGTAGTCTGTAAACACACACTTTGCATGCACTTATATCATTGCATATTCATCTTGCTTAGTTCCATGCAAATTCTATATTGATGTGGCTAGGTTTTTATCTCCTTAACACATGATCGTTCAGTTGCTAAATAGTGGGTATACATATATACACCCATAGTGAGGACAAATAACATGTTTGTTGCTTACCAACCCATACAATTTGAAATGGATTTAGCATGGAACTATAAGCTTGCGGGGTTCTATATATGATCATACAGGGTAAGATTTACAGTTTAATTTGTCTGCAAAACGTGTGAAACTGTATGCAAAGAAACGAATTTGAATTCACGGAAGACGCTATTACGTAATCGTGAATCGTCTCGCTTTAAATTGAATGAACATTTTACGAAAAAGAAACACGTTTTAATTCGAATGAAAATGAAATGTTTTTGAATGATCGTGTTAGGAATTTAAATGCTAAAAAACGAATTTGAACGAAAAATAACAGCTGCGGTGACAGAATCGGCGAAATTGAATGAACATAAAATGAATTTGTGTGGCCAACTTACGAAAGTGACCGAGAAATCCTATACTACGTCGCAAGCTGATAGTAGAGAGGTCCTCATCACATCGGGCTAACCCTGAAATCTACTCGTAAGTACGGATACTTCATTAATATGTTGATAGTTGAAATCATTACCACACACAATTTAGAAGTGAAATAAGTATTTGGTTGTATTCTTGTTAGGCCTTTAGTTGTGACGACTTCAGAGACGCCCTAAACAGTTTGACTGCAATGAGCAGCGTATATTATGCGCTTTGCATTCATTTCCATTTACTATAATTATTAGTCGTACTGAGCTGACGAGCAATCGTAATAGAACAAATAAATAATAAAGGAAGTACTAAATGGAATGTTTTACATATGTATTTCATATTTGGAAGGCCAAAAGCAAAACAAAAAAGTGAATAAAGTGAACTTGAACTTGAACATCAAGATTTGTGTTTCTGCTTTTCTATTTTTCTTCTATTCCTCATTTATGTCTTTCTATTTCTTTTTTCTGTTTTGCTTTTGGCCTTCCAAATATGAAATACCATTCTAGTGTCCGTTCTTCTAAAAAGCAAGGCTATTTGTATGTATTGCAACCATATCAATAATGAATATATTATCAATCTAAGAGGTCACTACAAAATTTGTTCACTAGGTTTGTACAGTGGTCTGAATTATGTGCATTTTTCTCTGAAACTACTTAATTCGACTAAAACTGTGTACTGTTTCGTCTTTCCTCAAATAAAACAAATTAAAAAGTGATTTTTTTTTTCTTTCTTTTCTTAGCTTTTTCATCTTCTTCATTTACCTCTTTTGTCGTTGTGTTTGCGTAGAGTGGAAAGGGAAGAGATATTGCAATCATCATAAACATATTGATAATGGAGAAATCCGAAACAAGAATTAAATCATCATAGCAATTACAGATTACAGAATGGACGCTAATGTATAGACACTATATCCTGGGGTAGCATTCTGAATCGATGTTATATCCGGTCAAGGGCGGATCCAGCCGGCGTCGAGGGGGGGGGGGGGCAATTTGTGAGAAAATATTGAGCGGCGCGTCAGCGCCGCGTTCCGCGCTTGCGCGGACAGGGGGTGTCTGAGGGGGGATGTGTCCCCCTGAAAAGCTGAAGAAAAAAAGAAATCGAATTTGTAAACTCAATTTGTGCGATTTGGTGTATACTTTTTGCCAGGATATCATTTAAAATCTGTGACTTTTTCCAGCATAAATTTATGATAGGAGGAAAAGACTGTAAACACAAGAAGTGGGACTATGTGTGCAATCCGCATGGTACCCCGTTGTGACAAAAAGTATTTAGGACACTGGTATTCATGGCACCGGTACCTCTAGGCAGGCGCGTACGCAGGGGGGGGGGGGGGGGGGTGGGGGTTAAACCCCCTTTAGTTTTGTTTGTATGTGTGTATTTTAGAACAAACCCCCCCCCCCCCCCCCCCCCTTCGGCGATTTTTTTTTTTTTTTTTTTTTTTGTTTTTTTTTTTTTTTTGTTTAATGTCCTCTTACCACCCCCCCCCCCCCCGCTTATTCAGCGGCCGGCTGAGTCGTTGCGATTTTTTTGGGACCAACAAAAAAAAGTGTCCTTTTAACCCCCCCCCCCCCCCCCCCCCCCCCCCCCCCACCCCCGCTTATTCAACGGCTGGCTGAGTCATTGCGAAATTTTTGGCCCGATTTCAAAATGTTAAAACCCCCCTTGAAAAATTCCTGCGTACGCCACTGCCTCTAGGTGTAAGTGTTTAATATTGATGTGAACGCGCCAATAAAGGAAACGTTGCAAACGACTTGTTGAGTTCTTATTTCTCTTTATTTATGTTCTTTTCGTAACAAGTCATCTTCATTTAGCGATTCAGCAATCCAATTAGCGAATCATCATCTTCAGCAATCCAATTAGCGAATCATCATCATTAGCAAATCAGCAATCCAATTAGCGAATCATCATCTTCAGCAATCCAATTAGCGAATCATCATCATTAGCAAATCAGCAATCCAATTAGCGGTTCACTGTAAACAACAACAAAGTAACAAAGCATTATAAACATATGCATCATATAAACAGAATTAAATGCATGTAACCCTGTCTACATTACAGTGAATCTTGTAAATACTCTTGACATATAAACGTGATGTTTATATACGAAATAAACTCCAAAAAGAATGCAACTATCCAGCTATACAGTGTATTCATTTATGTCTCTGCTTGATTTATATATCTTCATAAATTCCTGTGCTTAGAATGTGCCTGTAATGCACGGTGTTCTACAGATACGGCTTCATAATGCCCCTTAATTAAGCAATTACAAAGTAGTCTATGTGATTCCAGACCCTATACAACTGACATCAATAATATTCCCTCAGAAACGGTTCTACACACTCCTTATAATGGTAATTAACCTCTTTTAACTCTTACAAGCTGTGCAAGTCACTATAACATATCATACTAATTAAATCATGCACCATCTTAGAGCTTGTTTATATGAATAAACCCCTTTATGCACGACACATACCTGGGTGCAATGCGTTTCATAGCCCCATAGCAACACATAGGCTTCTGTACATAACGTTGCGTTAATCATCCAAAATCAACTCACTATTTGCACATAATTCACAGGAAATGAACAATCATATGAAACAACTAGTTTCATATATTTGACAGTAAATCAGTTATCTACAGTAATCATGTATCGTAGCTTACCAACTATTTGTTCATCCGGAGCAAAGTCATGAATTCTATGGTAACAAACATCAAGTCTGAAGCCTTTGACTAGGCTTTCTGTTGCACAAATTTTCTTAACGCCACAGATGGCGCTATACAAGTTTCGCGCCGCTACATTCCGGCCCCAAATGAGTTACCTATCCTTAAATCATTTTCTACATTACCATAAAGCGGCATGCATTAAACTATGAATGAATTACAGTAACATTTGGTATGCATTAACGCAATGACGATATACCTGTAAAATATCTGAAAGCAAAAACAAACATCCATTTAACTTTCACAAATCTTGTCAAAACTGTTTGCATAAACAATTCAAACTGTGACATACATGCAAGTTAGTAATGTTAGAAATTCTTTGAACAATAACATATAAATGTTTCACATCATATATAACAACCTTCGTTGTGTTTAGGAAGAAGCCTCTACATTGGCTTCCAAGAGGCACAGCTTTGAAATTGGCCTCTTGTAATATCGAGGCCCTACTCGAACCTCTACTTGTCTTACAAGTCCACGCTTGTCTGGATAGGTCGTTAACACTCTTCCGATGGGCCACTGTCCACGAGGGGTACTTTCGTTGACCACTAGAACCAGATCGTCGACTTCAAAGTTTCTGTTTGGTCTAGTCCATTTCTGACGTTGCTGCAACAGGGGTAAGTATTCCTTGACCCATCGGGTCCAAAACTGCCCTGCTAGGTACTGGACTTGGCGCCAGTGTCTCCGTAGATGGCAGTCTTCTTTCACAAAGATCCCTGGTGGCAGACTTGGGTTCTTACGAAGCAACAACAAATGATTCGGGGTCAATGGCTCATCATCTCTGGAGTCCATGCTCAGGTGAGTAAGAGGCCTTCCATTCAATATTGCCTCTACTTCTGTGAAGAGGGTAAGTAGCGCTTCGTCTGTAAGCGTCTGCTGTGGGAGACTGGTCAAGATTTTCCTCACTGACCGTATGATCCTCTCCCATACACCTCCCATGTGGCTTGCTCCTGGCGGGTTGAAGTGCCATGCAATGCCCTTCTGTGTGAGGTATCGGTTCACTCTCTCGGAATTCAGCCCTGCAAGAGCATCCTTTAGCTCCTTCTGACCCCCCTTGAAATTGGTGCCATTGTCACTGAATATAGCCTTGGGTTGACCTCTACGGTTGATGAAGCGACGCAGTGTTTGTATGAATGAGTCAGTCTCCAAGCTATAAGCCATCTCAAGATGCACTGCCCTAGTAGATAAACATGTAAAGATACATCCATACCTCTTCTGTGTACTGCGACCATGCTTCGTCGGGAATGGGCCAAAGTAATCAAGCCCTGTATTCGTAAAAGGTGGTTCTCCCGGAGTAACTCTCTCTTCCGGCAAATCAGCCATGAATTGCTGACCTCTTGAAGCATTACGCTTCCTGCATTTGAAGCAGTTACCTATGGTGTGACGGACTGTAGCACCTCCCTTGTTGATCCAAAATCTTTCTCTGAGAGAGGTCCATGTCGAACCCATACCACAGTGTCCAACCTTCTGATGATGATGAACCACTAGAAGCTTGGTAACGTGGTGATCGTTGGGAAGAATCATTGGATGTTTCTCGTCATCCAGAATAGGAGCCTTGCTCAATCTCCCTCCTACTCGTAGCAGTCCGTCAACCATGACAGGATTCAGCTTCTCAAGGAGATTTCCTTGTTTCCTGGTTTTCTTCTCTATCCCCTTCACGTACTCATCAGGAAATGAGTGTCTCTGTACGTGTTTGATCACTTCGACCTCTGCATTGTTCAATTCCTGAACTGTCAAGCTTCCTCTTTCTGCCAAGTTGCCCGTTCCTTTGGACCGCAAGTATTGCTTGTACCGTAGTAGCCATGCAATTCCTCGCTTCAGACGATCCCATGATGAGTACCTTGTCATTAGATCATCTATCTCGTCATGTGAGCTGGTAGCGTAGACATGAGTTTTCTTCACCTCACTGTCATTCTGAAGATCAAGTTCTGGTACATCTTCCTTCTTCAAACTTGCTGGATCTTCCGGCCAGACTTCCTTTTCTTGTAACAAGAACTCAGGTCCTGTAAGCCATCTATCCAGGCTTCTTGCAGGGATACCCCGTGAACCATCATCTGCGGGGTTTCTCTTTGTATCTACTTGTTCCACTGATTCACCAACTCTTTCATCTCCTGGACCAGAGTCCATCTCCCAAAACCGCTTCTCTTGATTATGAAGCTCCTCAGCTGAGATGTGGTGAATTTCGTACGAGTTGCTGTGACTTGAGCTTGATGCAGGTCCAATAAACGTCCATCCCAAAGGCGTTCTGATCGCATAGGGATCTTTCTTTTGACCCCTCCTTTCTTCCTCTACCCAGAATGCTTCTGGGGTGTCGCCTCCTATCAGGAGCTGAACCTTTGCTTGGCCTGCTGTCACTAGTTGAATGCCCTGAAGATGAGGCCACTTATCGACATCTTCCTGACATGGTATACTTCTGGACGATATGGGTAGAACATCAACAGTCCACATCCTGTCCACATCGATCTTAGTGTCTTCTTGCAAGCCTTGAATGGTCATGCTAACTTCCATTCCTTTCCTTGGAGTGTTCACTCCATTGATTGTGGTCAACCTGAATTCCTTGTTGACTCCGACAATTCCCAGTTCCTCTGCAAGTCTCTTTTCACAAAGGGACGTATCACTTCCTTCATCAAGCAGTGCCCAAGTCGTAACCTCCTTGGCTCCATGACGCACCTTCACAGGAAGTACTCTTAAGCGTACGTCAGCTCTTCCTCTAATTGTATGGCATTCCACACCAGTTGTCACTCCGGCCCCGTTCTGCTGACTTGGGCTGTCTTCATTGTTCTTCTGGTTGGGGCTTTCCTTCCTTTCAAAGTGCAACCATGTGTGGTGTTTCCATTTTAGACTGCATCCTTCTTTCTTACAGGTCGAGTCTGAGGGACAGTTCCTTGCTAGGTGTGCCTTCTTAAGGCAATTAAAACAGATGCCACTCTTCTTTAGGAAGATAAATCTCTCCTTCTGAGGCAAGTCCCTTAGCTTGAAACAGGTCTCCAACTGGTGCTCCTTCTTGCAGCATGGACATTCCTCCTTTCTGTTATTAGGCCTGTCAGTTACTCCTTCCATTGCAAAGGATGAAGCTCTGCCTCCCACGCTCCCTTTCTGTCGCTTTGCACTTGAACTTGACTTGAATGACTGTCCGATATTCTTCCCGAAGACGTTGCTTGCTATCTTAGCCTCCTGTTCGATAAAGTCTGTCATGTGGCTAAAGTTGGGAATTACAGACTGCTCCATGGCTACGTGAGCCTTAGATGCCCACCTGGCTTGTAGGTGAACAGGCAGAAGGCTCTGTATCTTAAGCAGTGTGTCCGTTGAGCTCATGTCCGCTGAATAACCCATCTGTGATGTGGACATTTGACATCTCCTCATATCTCTGGCCAGATCCCATAAGGCCTGACTGTCACTTGGGCGCAGGTTGGCTCGGCAGATCACCTTATCGACGTGTGCCTTCGCTACTATGTAGTTCTGTCCGAATTGATCTTGTAGGATGCTACGAGCTCTTGAATATCCAGTATCGGGATGTAACAAAATACAATTCTCTATAGCCTCCCTTGCCTTGCCTGTACAAAATTGTATTAAATAGGTTAGTCGCATCCTGTTATCTTGCACCTTGTGCTCAATGTTAACATCAAAACAATTACAAAAGCTCCAATAATCAATAGGGTTACCGGAAAAACAAGTCATATCAGGTTTGGGCAGGTGCATTGCCATCATCATCTCTGACAAATTATGTTCTACAGAATTTACATTCTTATTACATGTATATGCATTTGGCATTGTATGTTCACCCAACACTCTTTGGGAAGTAACATCCTGATTCTCATTACAAATATCTACCGGTACAACATTCCCTGTACACCATTCAGCAGTTCTTTGCTGAGTTTGACCTTCTGGAATTTGTAACAGTTCTTGTGGCTTTATTTCATGTTCTTGCCACAATTTTGCTTCAGCTTCGGCGTTCTCAAGTTCATTTTCAATCTTGAGTCTATCAAGTTTTTCGTTGAGTTCGAACTGTTCTCGTTTTAGTTTATGTTCTCTCTGTAGCTGTACTACCTTCATCCTAGCAAGCTGCCGCTTCACCTCGGCTTCTCTCATCTTCACGCTTGAGGAGATGCTCGCCCTGGAGGCCATCGATTTCACTTCAGCGTCCCTGGATGCTCTGGTTTCACTCCTTGCCGTTGCATCCCCGTCAACGCCGTTCTTTGGCTCTCCAGCTTCCGACCCCTCATGCTGGTTGCTTGCTTGGACCTTCTCCGACATCTAGAACGCAGTTGTGAACTTTTTGTGTGAACGCGCCAATAAAGGAAACGTTGCAAACGACTTGTTGAGTTCTTATTTCTCTTTATTTATGTTCTTTTCGTAACAAGTCATCTTCATTTAGCGATTCAGCAATCCAATTAGCGAATCATCATCTTCAGCAATCCAATTAGCGAATCATCATCATTAGCAAATCAGCAATCCAATTAGCGAATCATCATCTTCAGCAATCCAATTAGCGAATCATCATCATTAGCAAATCAGCAATCCAATTAGCGGTTCACTGTAAACAACAACAAAGTAACAAAGCATTATAAACATATGCATCATATAAACAGAATTAAATGCATGTAACCCTGTCTACATTACAGTGAATCTTGTAAATACTCTTGACATATAAACGTGATGTTTATATACGAAATAAACTCCAAAAAGAATGCAACTATCCAGCTATACAGTGTATTCATTTATGTCTCTGCTTGATTTATATATCTTCATAAATTCCTGTGCTTAGAATGTGCCTGTAATGCACGGTGTTCTACAGATACGGCTTCATAATGCCCCTTAATTAAGCAATTACAAAGTAGTCTATGTGATTCCAGACCCTATACAACTGACATCAATAATATTCCCTCAGAAACGGTTCTACACACTCCTTATAATGGTAATTAACCTCTTTTAACTCTTACAAGCTGTGCAAGTCACTATAACATATCATACTAATTAAATCATGCACCATCTTAGAGCTTGTTTATATGAATAAACCCCTTTATGCACGACACATACCTGGGTGCAATGCGTTTCATAGCCCCATAGCAACACATAGGCTTCTGTACATAACGTTGCGTTAATCATCCAAAATCAACTCACTATTTGCACATAATTCACAGGAAATGAACAATCATATGAAACAACTAGTTTCATATATTTGACAGTAAATCAGTTATCTACAGTAATCATGTATCGTAGCTTACCAACTATTTGTTCATCCGGAGCAAAGTCATGAATTCTATGGTAACAAACATCAAGTCTGAAGCCTTTGACTAGGCTTTCTGTTGCACAAATTTTCTTAACGCCACAGATGGCGCTATACAAGTTTCGCGCCGCTACAATTGATATATGTATAACTAAACACAGTAATGATTCCCTTATCAAGATCAAGAGTCCATAAAGTATATCTTTTATCCTTTTTATTTCATTTCTAAACAAGATCTTCAATTGCAACAATGTTGACAACCACAATTGACACGGTACAGATTCCTAATACCTCGGGTATCACTTGATTGTCAAAATCAGTCAGTACAAGACTAGTGCAGCAGTTGTGATGGGCAGACAGCAATAACTTGATTCGGGCTGCAGCTTTAAACACATCACATCAGGCCCCGGTGAACGTTTTTCAAAGTAGGGGGGGGGGGGGATAAAGTATTTATGAACAGGTAGAGCGTAGCGTAAATTGGCGTAGGGTCCAGGGGGCGGCGCAGGCGGTTTGAGCAGGCCAGGGGCAAATGAGGTCATTCAAAGGATGTGGGGGGCATCAAAAATAAAGGGCACTTTCCGGGAGAAAGGGGCACCTACTAAAGGAAACCTCAAATCGAAAATTTACAGTTTTTTTAGACATTGGTATATACCCCTACAATGTGATTACAGGGATGATTCAATGTCTGTTTCTCTCTTAACATGGTCCATACTGTCTAAGCATCACACATTTACTTCGTAGTTGGTTTAATAATTTTTGCGAGCGAGCAAAAAATTTGGATTTGTGAGGTCGCAGTGAAAAAAATTACATCTTATAAAGAAGAAGAAAAAAATCCTGATGGGGTTTTAAGCACAATCTAATCATGAAAGACTGAAAAGATCTTTAATATGAACCATAATTATATCAACTTTAAATACGAGCGAGCGTAGCGAGCCACACTTGGGTGAAATTAAAGAAAAGTTCCTCTTCATCCCTTTAAATTAGGAGCACTTTTTATAGGGAAACGAAAAGGGGGCACATATCCAAAGGGGAAAATTACACTTATTTGAAATGAAAAAAAGCACATGTCAAAGTAAAAAGGGGAATTACCAGAGGTGAAAATGGGGCACTCCTCGCACCTAATAAGGGGCACTCACCAGAGATGAAAATAGGCACTTATGACAACGGAAAAAGTGCAATTTTCAGAAGAAAAATGGCACTAATCAGAGATGAAAAGTGGCACTTATTACAGAGTTAAAAGGGGCACCTCTCAAATTTTAATAAGAGCATGCACTCATCGGAGATAAAAAGGGGCACGTATAAGAAAGAACCAAATCTCACGCACACATTATGCAAAAGAGGTGAGTAATTACGTCCTGCAGGACACAACACAAATCCCAGGTTGGTTTCCGGAAGCTGGAGAAGAATCCTTTTCGCATCGTATACTGATTTTAATTTGTAATGATTTACGCATCTATCCAATCTGTCCATATAGTGTAACAGTAACAACCCATCTGTGACACTAATAAACGATGTGCATGAGACTAATTTTATTCGGTATCATTTACATATAATAAATATTATGGGCAGATTGAAATTTTTTTTTTTAGACTGACAGGTCGTCTTTTGTGCACCTGTTCAACTAAATGCAGTGTTTTTACCCAGATTCTGGCGATAAAAATGGGTAATTTTCTGAATAAATCAGGCTTTTACGACCACTTTTACGGAACTAATTTTATGAATCCGCGAACTGCCGAATTTGGAAGCCTTGCCAACATGCCTCACGATGCCTCCGTGTTTTAACTTTTCGCATTTGCTATTTTGTCGTGCTTTTTTCCTTAATTACGTTTGCTAAGTCGCGCTTTTATGTAGATAAAATATGTGGTCTCGCATTTTGCAGGGATTTTTTTTTTTTTTGCTAGGCCTTGCCCTTGGTTGTTTCTTTCTATTTCTCTTTCAAATAATTTTTCAAATAAGAGGGGGGGGGGGCTCGAGCCCCGCCATACCGCGGACCCTGTACTCTGTGTAACAGCATGATGATTTGACAGATGGACCTGAAGTTACCGAGTCCTGAAATACTTTTGAACGTTGTAACTTGTACGCTAGTGTAGAGAGATCATCGGCATTTTGTTTCTATCATAATATATAGGCCTAAAACACGAATTAGGGCTAGTTTGACCTGAAAACAACCCAAAGCTCGGCGCATGTCCAGCTGAACCGCGGGAGCTTGGCCTATATACGGATAGGTGAGGGCCCTGGGTCCACTCCTAACTCGTGTTTTAGCCCTTCTTTCTTACCTTTTCCTTTCCTTTCCTTTCCTTTCCTTTTCTTTCCTTTCCTTTCCCTTTTTTCGGGGGGGGGGGGGCCGGGCCCGTCGCCCCCCCCCCCCCGTGGATCCGCGCCTGTATCCGGTGTCAGTAAAACGGTGTTAATTGTCCTACAAATCAGGTCAAATCAATCATTTACCAATGCCTTTACAAAGTGTCAGCGCAAGACCCAATGACAAATGCTTGTTCCGCTCAATTTATCTTTTTTATGACAATTAACCCCATTTCTCATATCATAAAATATGGATTCGTTTCCGGAATAAATTCCTTGATACGAGTTATAAGCTAATTGTACTAAATATGACAAAATCATCACCCAATGGTTGCAGTTTTTGAAAAAGCTCGTTGCTTGTCTCATGATTTGTTATGCATTCATTCTAATGTATCTGTTGCAGCTACATCTTTCATATAAACGCTACACGCCATGGCTTCAAGGTTTCCTCCAGAAAACCCGGGTCAACTAAGAGCAAGAAAAGGTCATGAAATGACATGGTCATGTGACAAGCATGCTGAGCCAATTGCTTTTTACTGTAAAGAGCACGATATTCCTATTTGTCACCGATGTGCGACCAAAGATCACGGCCAGAAACCATGTGAGCTAGACGACATCGAGGATGTAATCTTAGAGAGAGGGAGAAAACTGGACGATAAACAGCAAGAGATAGAGGAAACAAAGAAACGACTGAAACTGCTTGACTCTAAAATAGAGGCCAGTGCTACTTCTGCAAGAAACCATCTTCAGACACTCAAAGATGAGGTTAGGTCTACAAACAAAGAAAAATCAAGACGTGTGAAGGGTGATGAGGAGACGAAGACCGATCTCATCAACGAGGAAGCGGATAAGGAAATTCGTATTATCAACGAAAAGAGGGACGGACGGATCAAAGCATGCAATGCTGAGACAGAAAAGCAGCAACTAATCATCGAAGAAAGCCAAGCAAAACTTATCTCAGATACAAAAAAAATCGGCGAGGTGGTGGCCAAACGGATAAAAGATCTTAAAAGTAAAAATCAGCATGCAATCAGCACCACTGGCGTACCTATGGGGGGGGCAGGGGGGGCAGAGTGCCCCCCCTGACGGGCTCCAGGCGAAGAAAAAAAAGGGGAAAGAAAAGAAAAGAAAGGAAAGGAAAGAAAAAGAAAAAAAGAAAAGGGAAGAAAAAAAGGAAAAAAAGAGAAAAAAGGAAAAAAAGAAAAAGGAAAAAAAAAGGAAGAAGAAGAGAAAAGGAAGAAAAAGGGAAAAGAAAAGGAAAGGAAAAAAATGGGGAAATTAAAAAAAAAAGACCATGGCCGTACGCACCAGGGGGGGGGGGGCAGTTGACCCCAGATATTTTGAAAACGTACAGTTTTTTTCCTGAAAATGTAGTGTAGGCCTATACCAAATCCTTCAATTCTACTTTTGAAAATGCAAAAGTACCCTCATGACCAGTTCGGTCGCTCGAACTCCCTTTCACTCCTTTTGCTTTTGAGATTCTTCGAAAACTTTTAACGCATCTTTCCCCCTCCCCCACCAGAAAAATATTCCGCATACGGCCCTGAAAAATTAAGCCAAATGAAAATAGGAAAATATAAGTGATATATCAAATTCGAAACTCTTCGCTGGCGCGAACTGCTTGCTAGCCTATTTTGTATTAAATGTTTTCACTTGCTCGTCCCCCTGAAAAAAGAAAAGGATTAGCATTGCCTAGAATACAATTGTGCCTGCCCCGACGGGCCCCGACCTGCAACCATGGCAACAATAACACACAGTGTATGTACCAAATGTTACTAAAAGAGAGTAATTCATTTTTCTCGCTCGCTACACTTGCTCGCGAATAAAATGAATAGATATTGCTTTGGAAATAATTGTGCCCACCCTTGACCTGCAACAATATCATTAAAAATGGAAGAGTTTTTTCGCCCTCTCGCCAAAAATGAATTGAATCGCGTTAAACGCGATTGCGTCCATCCTGACCTGCACCAATAAAAACAAGTTTATTTATTAATTTCTATTAAAAGAGATTTTTTTTTGTTGCTTGCTCGCTATGCTCGCTCGCCAAAATGGAATTGACACCGCTAACGTGCCCGCCCCAACCTGCAACAACCAGTTAATAATTATGTACCAAACGTTATTCAAAGAAGTTTTGGTGTGCTCGTGCTCGCCAAAACGGAATTAACATCACCTTAGACATGATTGTGTAAGCCCTGCCCTGCAACAAAAAAATCTGAAATTTATGAACCAATTATCATTACAAAAATTTTGCTCGCTCGCTACGCTCGCTCGCCAAAATAGAAATAATACCGCTTTTAATAATCACGTCCCTGACATGGAACAATGAACCCAAGTTTATGTACCATATTTTCCCTATAAAAGAGAAGTGATTTTTTTGCTCGCTCGCTACGCTCGCTCGCCAAAATAGAAATAACACCGCTTTTAATAATCACGTCCCTGACATGGAACAATGAACCCAAGTTTTATGTACCATATTTTCCCTATAAAAGAGAAGTGATTTTTTTCGCTCGCTCGCTACGCTCGCGAGCTCGTGGAATTATGTGCCCACCACTAACCTGCTACAATATCATTAAAAAGAGAAATGTAGGGGGTTGCCTGCCCCCCAAAATGGGATTGACATTGCCTTAAACACGATTGTGCCCGCCCCCGACCTGCAACAATGAAACAAATTTTATATAGCAATTCATTGAGAGAAAGATGTATTTTGGCTCGCTAGCTAAAATCACCCTAAACACAATATTGTTCCCGCGCCCTGCATGGGACAATTGAACCAAGTTTAAGGGGCAATTATTAAAAAAGAAGTGATTTTTTTCTTGCTCGCTACGCTCCTTTGCAAAAA